GCCAAGCTGTGTCCCCTGTTTGTCAGGCCCTGCCACACCTAAAATGAAACATTTCAAACCTGTGTGTTTCAGAAATGCAGGAAGAATGATTTGTGGAGAACTTAGAGCTGTTTCCAAAGCTGAAGAAGCAGGAAAAGGGTATAAGCAGAGTCCACCTCTGCCAAGGCAATGTGCAACTCAGGCGGGAACAAGGCATGACATGACACTTGCAATTTCCTTACTTCTGTCATCTTCAGTGAGATATTGGTTATGAAGGAGCGATAGAATCAAATATCCATTTTTTCATAACCCTGTAATGTATTCATGAGAAATACCAAAGACAACACCTCACTGAGTATCGTTCTTGCTAGCACCTTCTGCTAGTGTTGTGTGTCCCAAGGCTCGGCACCATGAAGCCAGGAGGGTTTGCTCAGCAGTAGGTGCCCTCAGCAGTGCCCAGCAGGCATTGATGGTTTCCCTGCTCTGTCTTACTCTAGTCTTTGGATTTGATTTCCATGCTATGGACTGGACATTGCAGCTGTAAAGCACAACCAGGCTTCTGTCCCCCACCCCCATGTAGGTGAGATGTTCCTTAGCCATTCGGTAACAAACAGGGACAACAGGATACCAGCCATTTTCATCATGTCCTCAGCAAGACCTGAAATTCTGAAGATCCACAAAGACTGAATTAGGACTTTTCCCACCCCACCTCAGGCTATTTTCAAGCCTCCTCTACCAAATGGTCTGTATCATAACTTCATGCACTCCCATCTGGGTATCCGCTGCCTGTGCTCTGTTCCTGCACCAGCCCTGCGAGCAGGCAGGGTGCTGAAGCGTAGTGAAGAGCCTGTTTTATCCAAGGAAAGGAATTCCTTTTTATATTCCAATATCCTGTCTTCTGCCAGGCACTGGGCTGAGTGTCTGCAAAGCAATCACCTGCAAACTGGAGCCAAGTCAACATTCCTGGTTATTCAGGCTCATGAGCTGGAGCTGCCTCTGCCTGTCACCTTTGGGATGAAGTATTAGCAGGACAATGCCTGGCAGAAAACCGAGACGAGCAGGTGTTCTGCTTGAGAGATGGATGCTTTCCCTTGCTGCCCATGCAGAGGAAGAGTGAGCTCTGCCTTCCCCTGGGGTTGTGCAGGGGAAGGAGCTCTGCCCGTGGCCTCTTCAAGTTTTCCCACTGGAAAGGGAGTCAGCCCAGCCCTTTATGTAGCATCAGCAAAGTGCGGCTTCTGCTGCCCACACTGGTGCTGGGGCATGTGGTGCTGCCAAGAAATACAGAGCAATGAAAGGATCATTGCATGGAGCAGCATGGTTTTCTTGCCCTGAAATCACGATGAGATACTCTGCAGAGCTGTGGATCTGTCTGTGCATCCGCCTTGCATACGCATCCGTAGAGCCTGGACCGCAGACATCATGCTCTTCCTCCGCTGCTCTCGCTTTTCCATCTGTTCATTCCTGGAGAAACAAATGAATGTTTGTCCTCTGCAGAACCCAGAGAGGGGAGGAAGGGCCTTATGTTGATTTTTGTGTAAAATATGCCCATCTGTTGGAATATCTATTTAAAATTATGAAAACAGAAAAGGAAAGCCAGTTTGCTGAACTGAAATACCTGTCCCTGCCTCTGCCCAGGGATGCTTTTGACCCCAACCTTTCCCATTTCTCTTGGCTAAAAAAATCCATAGCTGTTTGAGGCAGAAAATCAGTTGAATGACTTGTTGCAGGAAGAGTGTCTGGTTTATGAATTCTTACAGAATATTGTTAAATATCTGGTGAACGTACAGCGTTTTTGGATGTTAATATATTGGTTCCTCTGTGGAAATGCATGTCTTGAAGGCGTGATCTGCTCTTCAGGAGGCCCAACCTGCTGAGTCTAATTCTTTTCCCCACCACTGAAATTTGTGGAGATTGGCAATGCTGCCAGATCTGCAGAGTCTGCCATGTGGTGTTAGGGTGGTGCGTGATTTGGTTTGCCAGTTGGTCCTGGGGGTCTTTCTGGCCAGGATGGCTTTCCTGCAGCTTGGTGCTGTGACCGCCTCGTTCTCTTTTATGATAAGGTTAGCTTAGGGGAAAACTGCTCCCTTGCTGGGGAGCCAGGTGTTCCTATGGCAAGAAAAGATGGAAATCAGCTGTGATGGTTTTCTACTTTTTTAAAATACCTACATTTCTGCTGCAGGGAGTGGCAGTCCTGTGGGAAGGAGGTACGTTGTGGCGTGAGCGGGGCAGCAGCCTGTGGAAGAAGCTTCTTGGATTTTTCTGACCTGGTGAAGATTTGTTACCCTGGCACAGCTTTGTCCACAGGCTGTCAGCACTGAGAATGCCTCCAGCCCAAAGCCGAGGTGCCGATTGGCGTGTAGTTGCTTTTAAATTGTAATTCATTCGTAGTGACAAAGGCTGTCGGCCTTTTAATCTTCTGGGCTGGTGGATGGAGACGAATGATTTAGTGAGGGTTTGTGCAGGTGATTTTTATGCAGTATTTTGCAGGACTGTGGTTAATTGTTCCCCTTGGCCTGCCTGGCAGCATTTTTAACCTCACTGCCTTAATCTCCACTCCACCGGAATGGTTGCAGTTGAGTTTTTTCTTTCCTGCCTCAGAATTTGAGGGTGGTTTTCATTTTTCCTGGTGTTTTGTAACTTCTCCCAGGTCAAAGCTCTGCTTTGCTTCCCCCTCCTTCTCCCAAAATGCAAAACTCGGGCATTTTTCCCAAAGCTAGGGATGCTTTGCAGGGAGCCAAACTCATCTCCTTTGGCGGTGAGAGGTGTGATGTCTTGCTGTGTCTGGCTGTGCACAGAGCTGCTCTAGCAAATAGCAAACCAGCAAGTTCTTATTTCCCCTTCCCTACCATTTTTCAAACACAGTTTTTCTTTTAGGGGAGTATTTTTTTTTTCCTCTTTGAGTTGCTATGTCCTTCTGAACCCTCTCTCCAAGCTCTCCATGGAGTTAGCACTTGCAGCTCACAGAGGAAGCGAGCAGTGCATTATACATCACGGGAACCTGACACCTTTTGGATGTAATTCACTTGCGGAGCATTAGATGTTTTCTCAGCCATGCTTCAGTGTCAGCAGCAGGAGATCTTTTTGTTCCTCTTCACCCCCACTCTCTGCACTCTGATGACAAGTGTCTGGGGAAATCTGTTTTGGTGAAACACTTGACATGTGGCGTGACTTTCCTGTCCTAGCAGTTCATGTCAGAGACCCTTTAAACTTCCTCTAGTGATGTGATTTTTTTTTTTTTCTCTCTTTTTTCTTTTCTTTGTGGCTTGTCACAGTCTGCAGAAGGAGAGGAAGGGAAAGATTGGAGGTGAATTTAAAATGTGGTATTTTTTAGTTTGCTCATCCCTTCATTTGCTGGAGCAGCAGCAACAAACTGATTACACTGATCCTTCGGTGTAGGGAGCTGGTGGTGAATAGAGGTGCTGTGGGTCTTTCAACAGCTGGGATGAAGGAGAAACAAATACAGATTAATTTCTCCTGGAGGTGTTCTGGAATTGTAGCTCTCCCAAAGCAATTTGGTCTTCACAGTTACCAGTCTGAATGTTGCTAGAAGAAAAAGTCGATAGCTGGAGCAGTCTCTGTTGGCTGGGAGTGGAGCAGGTAGAAGAGGGGTTGCAGGATCCTGGCTCTGCACCTTGATGGAGCTTAGGTGCCAGGGAGGTCGGGGGGGGGTGTGTGTATCCCTGCCTGGCAGGCTCCCCACAGGTGCCTCAGAGATGCTGCTCTAGTCTTGGGGCAGGAGCAATGTGATACCTCCAAGCCTGGGACTGAACTGCTGCTCTCACAAAGGCAGCTCCGTGGCAGAGAAAGGGGAAAGGTGTTCGCTGCCAGCTTCACTGGGCAGAGTGTGTCTCATGCCACTGGAGGGTGGCAGGAACCCAGGGGCATCTTCCCTTGGGGCTTCAGCACCTGCACCACCCTGCAGGATTTGCCATGTTACCCTGAAGAAACATCTCTTCCTTTAAAATGTGATGCATCTTGGAAATGAGAGGTAGCTGTTTGCTTTTAAATCTGTTCTTCCAGTTCATTCCAGTCTCTAGCTAGCCATGGAGAAAGTGTCTTTCTAATCAAACACGTGCGATCACATACTGTGCAGGGGAGTTAATTTGCAGGAGCCCTCCCTGGTGCCTCTTTCCCCTGCCTGCCTGCTCAGCTGAGGGCAGCTTTCAGCTCTTCTGTGCAGAAACTGGGGCATCTCTGAACCATCTTCTTTCATGTGCTTCCAAAAGGCTTTACATCCTCCTGCTTAACATTTCAGAGGCTTATTTTGGTAGTAAAAACAAGAGCATCATAGGCTGGGATGAGTGGTCCCCAGGAGGTAAACCTGCCTTTTCACTGCCCTCCTTTTTGAGGGCTGTGATGAGGTGAGCTGGCTACTGTCTATATAGATTGGGCAGTGCTCGGAAAATGGCAGATACGTTTTCTTTTGATGCTCTGACCATATTCCTGGCAGGTGTGCAGGAATCTGCTTGAAAATGAAGTCAAGATCAACACAGCTGTTCGGGTAGGCTCACTCCAGCAGGGCCAGGAGGTACCTCTCTGGGACCAGTAATTTCCACCTCAAAAATTTTGCCTGAAAAATTCTGCAAGAGTGGCAGCATTTCAAAAAAAAATTTGAGTATAAATACATAAATGCTGTTACATTCGGTAGCCAGGAACTGTTAGTTCCTAATTTCCTTTTTTTCAGTCAATCCTTATCGCCCACTGAAACAAAGCTTGACTTTGTTCTGAGCAGTTGGCAGAAAACAGAGTATACATATATGTGTGCATGTCCACAAACACAGACACACATATTTTTTAATATATATAAATATATGTATGGGGTTGGGAGACCAAAGTGTACAATAAGTGTTTTAGTCATACCAGAATGCTGTCAGATGTGAAGTCACTTTGCAGGTCGATGCCTGCTTTCTTTAGTCACGCACTACAACCCGTGCATGGCCTTTGCATAAAATATAGTTGATTTTTCTGATCCCTTGCAGCAGCAGCTGACCGATGCTCTTGTTTTCGTCTTGCAGGAGGAGCCGGCTCCTGCAGTGCAGGGCCGGAGGTCATCACTCAGCGGGGTGTGCTACCTGACCATGGGTCTCCTCGTACTGCTCCTGGGCTTGGTCTTTGCATCGATGTATGTGTACAGATACTTCTTCATCACCCAGGTAGGGGCAAGTTGGGAAGGACTGCTGGCTCGTCAGCTGGAGCAGCCAGACAGACTGCTTCAATCTTTGAAAGAGGTGGTGCTGTTATTTATTGCTTTGCAATGCAGTAACTCGGGAGCCAGTCCTCTGGGCATTGCAGACAAGGTATGTCTTAAATGATAGGCTCAGGCTCACCTTCATCCCGACTGCCAGGAAGGGCCTTCCAGAAACCTTCTTCCCTCCCTTGTTGCTTTGTTTTGTTTTTTTTTTTTTTTTTTAAACCCCTTAAAAGTATCTTGCCAATTCTACCTTTTAAACCAAACGTCATTGCTGCCAGGGGTAAGGCAGTCTGAAAGCATGGCTTCTTGTGAGGGAAGAGCAAGCCCTGCAGAGAGCAGGGAGGTACAGACAAAGGAACAGCTTTTTGCAGTAGGTTTTTTTAGGCACTAGCACAGCAAAACTCTGTAGGTTTAACAAAAATAGGCACTGCTATTAAGAAAGCAAGCAGAGAAATGAAAAGCAAGTGGGAGATGGTATGGAAGGTGAGCCCTCGACCTCCATTAAATTCAGCAACTTTTCTTCCACATAGTGTTTGCAAAGCCTGGCCTAGCTGGAGTGCTGGGCTGGCAGCATTGTGGTGGGTCAGAGCGTAGGGAATGAGACAGGGCAGAGCTGCTTTTTAAGGAGGAAACTGGTGAGCTCTGTGGCTCGCTGAGTGTTTAGCCAAGAAACCGCAGAGCATCAGTTTGCGAAACAGCTATTAGTGAATGAGTTCTCCCAGGACCATTGTCTGCCTTCATTTCTGCAGCCAGCACTTACCCACTCAGCAGTGTAGTCTTTTTATACACTCCCTTGCTCCATAAATTTTCTTGCTGTCAAATTAATTGCAATCTTTGTTTTAAGATACTACAGGGCTTTATTGCATGTGCTCACTTATACCTGATCTGAAAACCCCTGCTCAGCCCTCCCACGCACTGCTGTGTTAGTGTGATGGCACCCTGTTGCAGGGCTTTCAGTGTAGACTCTTCCTTATGAGAAGAAGCCCTTGGCACTAAAGGAACATTATCGACAAGGTTATGGACAGCATTCATTCATCACCCAGTCATTATCTACCCTTGGTGCATGCGAAATGGCACTGAGAAATGCCTGCTGGTTCCTTTGGGGCCACCCGGTGTCACTCCAACTGCCTGCCTGCGATACCAAATGACAGCTCCTAACCGTTGACACAGCAAAGCCAGTTCAACGTGGTCAGAAATGCTTTGGAGGCCAAGGCAATGGTGCCTTTATGTCTCAGTCTCCAGTGGCTGCAGTTTGTCCCTGTGATCCTCATGCTCAAACCTGATTGCTCACCCTGCATTAGCTCTCTTGCCCATGCCTTGTGCTTCTGGAGCCGTGGAGAGCAGCAGCTCTTGTTTTGCAGTGAGGTAAAACTGCTTTGTTTTGGTGCATTTGCCATATCCAAGCTACAGGTGCCTTTAGAAATAATGCCCTGCTTGCCCCAAGCTTGTATGCCTTATGTAAAAAAAATTCAGTTACTGGAAGCCATGGAGGGATGTGAACAGCCTGGTTGTGAAATTTAAGAGCCTACAGGCAATCGGTTTGCCTTTCTGAATGGCTCCTTGTGAAATCCCACAGGAATCCTTTACTCCCTTTGGATCTGGCTGGCAGTAAGGGAGATGTGGTCATTTCACAAGGATGTTTTGCACTGCCTATAGCAAGAATAGTTTCTGGTAAAAAGATTCATCTTGAAGTATTCTCCAGCATCTGTTTGAAAAGGGTGTGTTTACCCAGTATGGGTACATTTCTTCCTGTGTTTGCTGGAGTTGTTAGTGGGGTGTATGAGTGTTGTACCTCCACCTGGATCTTCTCCCCACAGCTGCCCCGTGAGAGTGTGTTTCACTGTGGCGTCCTTTATGAAGACTCGCTGTATTCGCCATTCAAAGGGCAGCTGGAGTTGCACGAAGATGTCAAGATTTACATTGAGGAGAACTACGAGCAAATCAACGTCCCGGTGCCCCAGTTTGGAGGGAGTGACCCTGCAGATATCATCCACGATTTCCAGCGAGTAAGGAGCTGACAGGGCTTTTGTGGGCATAGCACGGGGCTGAGCTGGGGTGCACCAGCATGGTGCTTATGCCCTAGCACTATCACTCTTGTCACATATGTCTGTGATGGTCTTATTACTGAGTTGTCCTCCTTCCCAAGGCCCTCTCTGAGATTTTCCAACCTGCTCGTCTTGCTTGGTAGGGAGGTCCTTGGACAGGTTTGTTGTTTAAATCAATTTCCTGTCTTCCTTGAATTCCCTCTTTTCATCCATTTTCACAGCTACATTTCATTGCAAAGGTCTCAATTCCTTAATTTCTGTGCTTGGAACACAGGGTCTGACAGCTTATCACGACATAACACTGGATAAATGCTATGTCATCGAGCTGAACACCACTATTGTGATGCCCCCTCGCAACCTGTGGGAGCTGCTGGTTAATGTGAAGGTACAGCTGCTGTTCTGCTTATTTTGCATGCTTTTGTTGAGTTGGCTTATGGGTGCCAGCTGGAAGCTTGTGGGAAGTCAAAACTGCTATGTCTGTGGAAGTAAGCCTTGGCCCTGACAGAGCTGAGCCTTCATGTAGAGCAGAGGCTTCAGCAGGTTTAGCTGAAATACTAATTTTGCAGTCAGCACAGTAGTGCTGGCATGATGGATCAGCCTGGTCAGGGTGACAGAGAAGCAGCAGAGTCCTTCCCTCTGTTGTTTGCTGATTGTAGGAATTGAGGAAAAAAGACTGCAGAAGGTGCATATCTATCTCGGTCTTTTGCAGGTAAAGCAAAGCACTGAGCCTGAGTCTCTTACTCCCTTCTATGAGGGTCTATTTAAAAGAAAAGAAGAAAAATAACCCCAAACAATCTAACTCTTGCTCTTTCTTGATTTCCCTTTGCTCACCTGCTGCTATGTGCAGCATGATGAATTTTGTAGGGGTTAAGCTCAGAAGCAAAAGGTTATGCCTTGAAAGATGCCTGATCTTCAGTCCTTGTCAAACTCCCAGGTTGTTTCCTAGCAGTCCGCACAGTTTTATGCACTGTCACCCTCTGGCAAATGTGCTGGGAACCCTGCTGTGGTACAACACACGTTTACTTACCAGTCACTGCAAACCAGCCACAGCTTCTGACCACAGCAGGTGACCAGTCCCTGGGGCAGAGGGAAATCACAATATGTTAGGGGTTGGAAGGGACCTCAAAAGATCATCTAGTCCAACTGCCCTGCCAGAGCAGGACCACCTAGAGTAGGTCAAACAGGAACGCGTCCAGGCGGGTTTTGAATGTCTCCAGAGAAGGAGCCTCCACAACCTCTCTGGGCAGCCTGTTCCAGTGCTCTGTCACCCTCACAGTGAAAAAGTTTTTCCTTATGTTCATGTGGAACGTAAATGGAAATGGAAGAGGCAGGATTGCACAAGCTGACAGCAGAGCCCCAGAAAAAAAAAAACAGATTTGGAATACTGGTCACATCCTAAAATAAGACATATAAAATCACAGTCAATGAAAATTATGCTTTCTCTTTATCAGAAATGGAATTTAAAAGGGGATAAAATACAATTTAAATGGTCTTACATGTTTGATTCTTTAAAAAGACTACAAAGCAGATGGGGGTTTAAATAACTTTCTGATTATTGGCGTGGGTAAGTGTCCAATCAGTCTATGGAGTTTTTAACATGCATCTTAGAGACATTGTTTTTAAGTGTTTAGCTTGGTCTTGAGCTCAGAAAAGGTTTTTTGCCATGAGGACAGGAGCAGTGGAACAGGTTTCCCAGGGATGTTGTGCTGCCTTCTTGAAATCTTTGGAACTTTTCAAGGCCGGACTGGATAAAGCCCTAAGGAACCTGGTCTGATCTCATAGCTGCTCCTGCTTTGAGCAGGAGGTGTGACTGGAGACCTCCTGAGGTCCCTCTGCAGCTGAATTATCCCATGAGCCTGCAATCCTTATGTCCACAGGTGCAGCTTTGCTGGTGGCCTGTGTCAGGCAGAGAGGGCAGATTTCTTCCTGCTGTGGGGGACCTTCCTCACCTGATGACTTGGCTCCCTGCTCTGAAGTGCTCCTGTTTGGATGCTGGATGAGCTGCGTTGGTCCTTGGACTCAGAGACTTTTGTCTTGCTCATGATGTACCTCCTTTTGCCTTCTCTGCTCCTCTGAATCCAGTCAAGGTCCCGAACGAATGAGACTAGTTTCCAGCTGAAAGTTTAGTTTTGAAGATGTTCAGTGTCTTCAGTCCTGTTTCTAGGACTAAACCTCATCCAGCAAGTAACACTAGCTGTCTGCACAAGCAGACTGTGGCAGCACAGAGATTGAGTGAAACTCCTTTGTCCTTTCCTCTCCAGCCAGCCTGGTGCCAGGGTACCCCTTTGCAGTGTGGTTG